TTCACGCGATCTTAAATTCCAATGTCGTGATTCGCTATTGCGGTTGTAATATCAAACGTCGATTTTCGTAATTATACGTGCTTTAAAAATTATGCAGCGTGATTCGTATTTACGTGATATAAAAATTACGCATCATGATTTGTATTTTCACATTTTTTAAAATTCGATATAGAGTTTCATATTCAGGTGATTTAAAAGCCTCATATCGGGATTCATTTTCATAGAATTTTAAAATTAATCATCGGGATTTATAATCACATGGCTTTCAAGTTTAAAATTCACACTTTTCTCGTCAAATTTTTGTGAATATATATATATATTCTTTCATTCTTGGATTTCCTCTTTTTTACTTTCTGACTACTCTCATCCCTGTTCATAAAAGTTTAAAGCATGAAAAATCAACTTTCTTTATTAATTTTTTTAAGTAAAAAAAAAGAGTTTATAATTAATTAAAATAAAACTATTTATTTGTTCTATAACATTTTAATTTGTTAATGTAACATTTGCCGTAGTGGATAGCATGGATTAGCTAACCCCATAAATCATAATGTCCCTCCTTACACAACTCTATAGTTTCAATTAAAAAAAGAACGAATTTTTGATTTTAGAGCTCAATAAGTATTTTTCCACTTCATGGGAAAAAACTAAAAAAAAACTTTTTACTTGCAAATAATAAAAATGCTTAAAACTTAAAAAATGATGACACGATTTTTTTTTATTTTTTGCATATTTTATCTTATAAAAATAACATTAAATTTTAAAAAAACAACATATTAAATATAAAATGGGTGTTGTTTAGAGTATTATTGAAAATATTAAGTAATCTGTAACTAAAAAAAAAGGACATAAAAAGGGCTTTAGTTAGCCGAATTTCTAATAGTTTCGATTCTGAAGAAAATAAAACCCTCATTCTTCCTTTGCTAAGAAGTTTTTTGTTGTTATTCATTTCTGGCTCGTAATGGTGTGAAAGCTAGAAAAATAATTTTCCTGCCATCTATCGGAAGGTTTTGAAAACAAGTCTAAAATAATGAACAGCGCCCTCTCTATATGGCATTTAAAAGATTTTATTTACGTTACTTTTTCTTTTTTTTTTCTTTCTTTCTTTTTTTTTTATNTTTTTTTTTTTTTTTTTTTTTTTTTTTTTTTTTTTTTTTTTTTTTTTTTTTTTTTTTTTTTTTTTTTACTATTATTTAAAAAATAAATATGCTACATGAAAAAATATTTTTGCTGTGTAAATGAAAAATAAATATATTTAGCATTTTGAAAGTATAATTTTGATTTTCATTTATATTCTGTACTAAAATTTAAAATAAAAAATTCTGTACGGAAATTTCATTTAATCATTTTATCAGTAAATCATTTTATTGTAATATGACTAATATTTTGAAATTCGATTAATAAAAATTCCAAATATTTTGTTGTTATTAGAAAACGAATTTTTAAACAGAATTTCTTCATCAATTCAATATTACAATTTACAAATATTACCCCAAAATTTTTTGAAAAAAAAAAAATATTGAGTTTATTTTACTGGACTTTTGTTCTAACTATTCAAAAAATTTAAACAGATTTTATAAATGTAAAATTTTTAAAACCCTTTGAAATATTTTGAATCCTGTTTTTGAAAAGTAAATGATTAAACTGAGATTTTACGTTAAAATAAACATTAAATATTGAATAATTAAATAGTTGAAAACAATTTATATGACTTAAAAATGTTCTATTTTAACATTTATTATGACACAATACTTCAATTGTAAGTAAAATTTGCAAATAATTAGAATAAAGTATGTTTCATAAGAAATCCTTACTTTGAACTAAACAAATGTTGCCATCTATTATTAAAATAATAAATTTTTAGGAATCATGTAACATTAAAAATAAATATATCTTTGATTTAATAAAAGAAAAGTCTTTATTTTAAAATACATGATTAATACTACAAATTAAACATTTTATAATAAGCAATTAAAATTAAATTTAAAAAAAACATTTTCCAATAAATACAAGAATTGTTCTAGTTATAAATTATTATCTTTTAATTTTTAAGGGAGTTAGTTTTAAGTTTTATCTAAAATATTTACTTCAAAACAAAGATTATGTAGGAATTTAAATTTTATACTTCGAGAAATGATTTTTTGAATAAAAAATTCTTATAAATATTTATTTTAAATCAATTTCTTAATCGAATTATTTTTTAAAATATTTAATAAGCAATTCTAGAATTCATATTTAAGTTATAGCAAATTAATAAAATTCTAATTTTTTAATATTCGATGTAAAAGTTCTGCAAAATTTTTTAAATCGTATTATGCTAAATATTTTATGGATTCTATTCTTTTCTTATCTTTTTTCAAATTTTCCAGTAATAACAAATTTTTTTACCATCTCAACACTTTCACATTATTAATCAATCAATCCATTGTTACCTTACAATTACTAATGGTATACAACGAAGGTCCTGTAACCAATCAATAGCAAAAGGCCAAATAACACTTTTATTTTTCGGGCCTGTGTAAGTGACGAATTATATTGCCGCCTCTTTATGATAAAGCATGGGAAAGAAACAAAATCGAACAAATTTGCTTAAGGTCCTGTAACCAATCAATAGCAAAAGGCCAAATAACACTTTTATTTTTCGGGCCTGTGTAAGTGACGAATTATATTGCCGCCTCTTTATGATAAAGCATGGAAAAAAAACAAAATCGAACAAATTTGCTTAATATTTTATTCTTCGATTATCTTTTTTAATTTTTTCCCATCTTTTCGAGTTAATAACCAATTTTTTTTCCCAACTCTACACTTATTCATTATTATTAAAACAATTTATTGTAACCTAACAATTAATTTATGGTATACAATGAAGGTCCTGTAACCAATTAAGTGCAAACAGCCATAAAGCAGTTTTATGTTCCGGGCCTATATAAGGGACGAGTTATACCGCCGCTTCCGATAATGCCTCAAAACAAGCGATAACGGATCCCATTGTGTTTGCCTTTTGCCGCTAACGTTCCGAAAATGCCTGCAAACGGCCTTACATTTGCCGTGAGGTGTGTGCTTACTGGGAGGTTGCTTAAATTCTAGTGATGCTACTGAAGCAGAAAAAAGAGACTTTTGGGCAGAATGCTTTTTATTTGTGAAGAGTACTACAAAAAAAATCTTTGAACGCACGTCCAAGAATTTTGCTATGTTAAAAGCTGCATCTTGTTTAAACGCACATCTATTGAAAAGCAATCCAGTATTATGAGAAAAGCGAATGGTCGGTTTGCTTCAACTTCTTTTTTTCAATGCACAAATTTCCCCAGCCTGTTCAGAACGTGCAAAAATCCAATTTGAAACTTTCCTGGAAAAACTGAAAAGTAATTACAAAGAACAACTTAATTCATTTAATGAAGATATGCGCTTAGATGATTTTTATTCAAATATTTTAAAAAAGTCCAGTGAATTTTCTGAACTTTTTGAAGTAGTGAGAATAATTCTTATATTGTCGCATGACAATGCTGACGTAGAGAGTGGATTCAGTATCAACAAGGATATGCTTGTTGAAAATCTGAAGGACGAGTCCTTAGTTGGACTGAGGACTGTTTATGATGCCATAAACTTTTATGAGGGGGTCCTAAATGCTCCACTCTCAAAAGATTTGCTTTGTTGTGCAAAATTAGCGAGTGAGATATCAACAAGCTTTGGAAAAGAGAAACATCGAGGTAAAGGGGAAGGAGAAAGAGTCCAACAAGCGGAAAGCTGTAACACAAATCAAACTGTTGCAGAGGAAACTGATATCTGAAAAATCTGTGGAAGTAGCAGAAATTGATGCTCAAATACATAAATTGACCAAAGAAAAAGGATTCTTAATTTTAATTTAAAATAGTTTTTGTTAAGTTAATCAATAAATTGTTTCAAGATAGCAAGAAGGTTATTTTTTTTTTCCACCTGAGTTCTTCATTTTGTGTGAATTTTATTTAGAGTATTAGGTGATTGGAAGTGAGCATGATTGGTTAATATAATTCCTGTCTTGATGAATTTTGGGTAAGAATTTTTTTTTTCTGTATTATTTTAAGTAATGTTGAATTATTGCTCACTTCAAGTGATAAAACTAGGGAAGTAATTTTTTTCTAATTTAAGTGTTGTTCACATGTTTCTTATAATACTGCATATGCATGCAAGGAAAACACAGGTAAATTTTTTTCCAGATTTGAGTGGCAACCCTGTAACAGCAATCGCGCAATGATCGCCAAGTAACAGTAGGTCTACTAAAAAAATTTACAAGAATCGTTAAATACCGACAGACAAAAAAAAGAAGAAAAAGTCACGAAATAATGCACAATGAAAAGATCGCTAAGTAGTAAAGTGCACAGCGATCACAAAATAACGTAAGACCAGCTGAAAATAATCTTCAAGAAAAGTAAACTTCCAAAGACAAAAATGGCGCATAAAGAAACTATGCATAGCGTTCTATTTCAACGCCGATCCTCGCACGAAACCGGGAGCTTTCCGTTATTCAACATCATGAAACTAACATTGTCTTCGTAGCTAGACGCCATCAACAGCTCTACAGTTAGGCGAAATCAAAATAGTCTTCGTCACCGCGGTGACAGCGTTAGCGTAGGCTAGTATTCTCACATATTAGATCATTATATCGTTAAACCGCGAGCGTTGTCTTACATGACTGCTTAAATCAGATTTCTGATGTATCGCCTAAAACGAAAATTACTCTCAGCAGCTTAAATCAGATTTATGATGCATCGCCTAAAGCGAAAGTCATTATATCGGCCTGCCAATATATGCATTAAATCGATATTTCACGATGCATCGATTTATAGCCCAGTCCTAGTAAAATATATGTAACTTTTTTTTTGGCTTGTCAACCAACTATTTTTCTTTCAATACATACAATACTTGAAAATATGCAGTTTAGCCTAAAATAATTTATAATTGATCTTTTATTTTCTTAGATATGCAATATTCTTTTCTCACATTAAAAATGCTTGTTTCTTTATTAGATTGGCTGCAATGCAGTGAGCTGGGGTCCTATAAATGCTCAAATAGCTTATGCCACTACTTCTGATTGTTTAGAATCTACAACTTATCCATCAACTGCTGATTCTGTTAAAAGATTTGTGACTGGTGGCTGTGACAACCTTGTCAAGATTTGGAAATACTGGCAAGTAATTATCTTTCTCTTTTTTAATTTAAAAAAATTGTTAATATGAATCAGTTGCTGTTTGATTTAGTTATTTTCGTTAAAAATTAATGAGTAGTAAAAATTTTTAATTTTATATCATAATATAATAAGCTTTTTATGCTATCCTGATCATAAATATATATTTAACTTCATCGATGTTTGATGTTACTTTAAGGGCTGAGTAGTTAGAACAAGGTGATCAACTTGCTCAGCACTCTATTCATGATCTGTATTCAACTTACTACTCAATTTTTGCAACTCAATTTGGTTTTTTGAAATTTTTAATCAATGCAAAAATGTTGTTTTTAAGAAAGATTCCGATGAGTTTTAGCCATAGACAATGGTTTTAGAAGAAAAGCCTCTTTAAAAATACAAAATTTCTTGGAATTTTATGGTATTTTTAGAGTATTTTTCACGTTTTTTTCACACTATAAGGTATTTTTTTACATTTTTCTTTTTATATTTGATTACATTTATAATGGATTATTTCTTAAATTTTTACTTCTTATATTTTACAACATATATACATTAATAAATGCAAGCATCAATACTTTTTCCTTTCAACTTATTAGTCTTTTGTTATTTTAGCATTTAACATTTATTTCAAATTTTTCTGATTATTCATGTTTAATTTTCTCATAATATACATATTTTAGTACAGTTATATGTTGCATCAAATCTTAAAAATTAATGTTTCTGATTTAACTTGTTTAAAACATTTTTAAAATGACATTTCTAAGATTTTTTTTCTTTTCATTATCAAAACCATGGCTCTAGTTATGCTTAATTCAAGGTAATATTTTTTGTATTTAATTCATTTTGATTTACTTTATCAGCAAACAGGATCAGTGGTCTGAAGAGGAGAAACTAGAAGCTCACTCTAATTGGGTTAGGGATGTAGTATGGGCACCATCTGTTAATTTAGGCCAAAGTGTAATAGCAAGCTGTTCTCAGGTAAACATTAACTGTAGCTATTTATTAAAATTTTAATAATTAGCTATAGTCTATAACTATAGCTAATTATTGAAATTTTAAATCTGATAGCAATTTGTTTTACTGCCTAGTATCTGCACCAAAAATGTATACACTAAAAGACACCAAGTGATTTAAAAATTACTAAGTACAGGGTTCCTACACGCTCAGGAAAACCTGCAAAAGTCAGGCTATTCTAAAATTAAGCTAAAAAGTCAGGATTTTTCTTACATATTCATAAAGTTAGGAAAATAAAAAAAACTATAGTTCATTCAAAGACTGACAGACAAAAATAAAGTTTCAAGGAAAAATTCTGTAATTCAAAATATGTAATTTCCTCATAATAACATTCCTCTTTCCCTGGTAGAACCTGTCCTGTTAGCAATTTTCCTCCTGTTTATCCAATGATAAGGAATTTTTGATAGGGTTGCTAGGTTTATTGCTCTTTGTGTGAATAACTGGTTTACAAACAATAGTAGCTGAAACAACAGCAGAAAAATCAAAAAAGGAATTTTTACTGTTTTGTGATGCTGCCAAAAAAAAAA